CTCTCTCTCTCTCTCTCTCTCTCTCTCTCTCTCTCTCTCTCTCTCTTGCTCTGTCTCTCTCTCTCTCTCCTCTCTCTTTCTTTTTTTCTGCTGACCCCAAAAAACTCATCCCTCAATTAAGTGGTAAAATGTCCTTTCACACTGGGGTAAATGAAAACCCACATTCTACCTGAGCTGGTTTACTGAAGTTTGTAGTAAAATCTGGGATTCCTAAATTTTTTAAATTTTTAAAATTTTCTTTTTTTATTATAAACTTAACAAAAATAAACATTTTAATATACAAAGAACAGAAGAGAGGATTGTATTGGACAGTGTATATGAACTGTTAGTTTGGGTTTTTTTAAATGCATATCAAATTTAACACTAAATTGCTCTATTAGTCTATATAGCTCCTCCCTCTTGCTTCTTCTGTGTATTTTCTTTCTTTCTTTCTTTTTTGGCTAGGCAATGGGGTTAAGTGTATTTGCAAGTGTTTTATTGATACTTTTTCTTTTTCTTCTTTTTTTTTTGGCATTGCTATTGTTATCCACTATCTATCTCCTCCACCATAGATTACTTCCCTCAAATATTTGTAACAAATAAATATACCCAAGCAAAGAAAATGAAACATTGGCTGTGTGGGACTCTTCATTTCCATCAGACTTCCCTCAAGCATTATTTCCTAACACTGTGTATGTGAGCCAAATTGATGAAGGAAGGGGAGGCAAAGGGTGAAGCTCTTTTGTCCTGGTCCCAGTGCAATGGAAGGATAGGAGCACACTATAGGGCTTTTCAGGGGAGGGCTTATGAACTGTGATCATCAGAGAAAAAGAGGAGAAAAGGAACTTGGGGTGGGAAAGAACGTCATAGATCATTTTCTCCAACATATAGATGAGGAAACTGAGATCTAGAGAAGCGATTTACTAGAATTCAAACAAGTAAATGACTAAACCTGACTCCTACTCGAGCCTACAGATATGGGAGAGACTATGAATGATAAAACAGTAATTGGATTTGGCAGGTGGTGCAGTGGATATAGTGCCTGACCTGAAGTCAGGAAGACTCATGTTCCTGAGTTTAAATCTGGTCTCAGACACTTAATAGCTGGGTGACCTTGGGCAAGTCACCCAACCTTGTTCACTACAATTTCCTCATCTGTAAAATGAGCTGGAGAAGGAAATGGCAAACTAATCTAGTTTCTCTGCCAAGAAAACCCCAAATGGGGTCATGAAGAGTCAGAAATGACTGAAACAACTTACAACAACCCACTCTGTAGGAACAAGAGAAGCAACAGGTTGAATACTCCACGAGGCTTCTTGTTTGAAAGGTCAGGGATAGAGGGTGACATTGTCTGATATTTTGGGGAGGTTGACCAAGGACAGAGTATGGAGGAAAGATGAACCCAACTCTGATAAATTTGGATGGCAGTAGGATATCCATGTAGAGTCAGCATCTATGTTGAATGCATTGTGGAACTAAGTTGAGGGGTGATAAGTAGACTTCAAAGTCATCTGCATATCGTAGTTAAATCCATTACCTTGGATGATGTTGTCCAAGAGTCCAAAGGAAAGAGAGGTAAGTTGAAACTCTAATTGACCCTATAGAGTTGGAGGTGATGGTTGGGAGTAGAGGCTAAGGAAGATGCTGGTAGAGTAAATGACCACAAGGATAGGCAGCAAAACTGATATGGATGATAACGTAGATCCCATTATCACAAAGGAGAAATGAAAGTAAAAAAGAGGTCAAGGAATGGAAAAGTGGAGACATTTCTGGATTTAACAGGGAAGGTGTCCATGACTCTGATAAATACAGCCTCTAGGAGTGTGGGTTGTAAAGGATGGACTCCAGAAGAGCCAAGAGAGCATCCCCTGTCAAAGAAACTCTACTTGGAATTTGAAGAGACTTGGATCCAAATCACAACTGCAACATTTATTAGCATTTTGAAGACACAGACTACTATTTTTTTCTTTGTACACTTGCATTACAGGCCTGACAAACAACTCTTTATTAAATTAACTACATGATGTTGGGCAAGGTTCTTTACTTATATCACTTTCCTCATCTGGAAAGTGGGATTATAATTTTGCATTACATATGTCACAGGGTTGCTGAGGAAAGTCTTTTGTAAAACCATAAGTACTACTAGGATGAGTCATTATTATTCAAAAAAGAAGACAACTGAAATGGATTTCCCCACAGCATCTCAAGCAGGAGGAAATAAGCCCTCTATCCCAGGAGGCCTGAGTTATTTGAACTGTAAAAGAAATTTCACAAATCATAAACCCAGGCTTCAAACTAGCATTAGGCATTGTGCTTACCTATTCAGATATGAATTATGTTGCATGATGGGGTTCTGTGAGTTATTAGACGGGTTGGGAAAGAACAGGGGGAATAGAGGGCCTGCTTTTACAGCCTCCAAGGAGAGAGGCACAGTAAGTATTTTCAGGGTCTAGGTGGGAGAGTGGAAGGTATATGTGCCAAATACATCTGGCAAGCAATTTCAGAGTTTATAAAATCATAGATTTAAAGGCAGAAGAGACCTTCAAGAGTATCTATTTCAGCCCCCTTTTTTACAGATAAGGAAGCTGAGACCCAGTCAAGTTAAATAATTTTTTCCAGAGTCATACACATTGTTAGCAGTGGAAATGGGTTTTTAAACCAAAGCCCTCTGGCACCAAATTCCTCTGTACCACACTGAATTGACAGTCTGCTCTAGCCACCTAAATTTTCATAACCTCCTGCTTCTGGGGTCTGTTACTAGAGAGGAACACTAATGTTTGCAGCCGCAGGAGAGCAGAGGACCTGGTCATAGTTCCAGGGCCAAGAAGAGTGCTAGGCCTTGTGGCTGCAGGAGACCAGGGGTTATTTCTGGGTAAAGACCAGAGCACAGACCAGGTGAACAGTGACCACATCTTTCCCCAATCACACCACCCTGAAATCACTAAAAACTTGCAGACTCCCAGAACTAGCTCTGAAAATGGCAGCATGAAAAAGCGTAAAGCTTGGGACAGTGACTTCTCATCCTAAGGTGAGTAGAGCCCAAGTCAAGAAATAGACTGGAAAAATCAGGAAACAACAGAAAAAAAAAAGAACTTGACCATAGAAAATTACTATTGTGGCAAGGAAGACCAAGACACAAACTCAGAAGAAGAAGAAGAAGACAATGTGAAAACAGCTACCAAGGGGCAGCAAGTGGCACAGTGGATAGAGCACTGGCCCTGGATTCAGGAGGATCTGAGTTCAAATCTGGCCTCAGACACATAACACTTACTAGCTGCGTGTCCCAGGGCAAGTTACTTAACCCTACTGCCTAGCCAAAAAACAAAAACAAAAACAAAAAAACAGCTACCCAAAAAGCCTCAAAGAAAACTGCTAATTGGACCCAAACCCAACAAGAATTCCTGGAAGAGTTAAAGAAAGAGATAAGAGTGGCAGAGGAAGAATTAGGAAAAGAAATGATAGTGATGCAAGAAAAATTATGAAAAGAGAGTTTACACCTTGGTAAAAGAGGCACAAAAAAATTGAAGAAAATAACACCTTAAAAAACAGAATTGGCACAATAGTAAAAAATTCACTAAAGAAAAGAACTTCTTAAAAAGCAGAATTGGTCAAATAGAAAAAAAGGTACAAAAAAGTTCACTGAAAAAAATAATTCCTTAAAAATTAGAACTGGGCAACTGGAAGCTAATGACTTCATGAGACATCAAGAAAAAAAAGAAAACCCCAGAGTCAAATGAACGACAAAAATAGGAGAAAATATGAAATATCTCATTGGAAAAAAACAACTAACCCGGGAAATAGTTAAAAAATAGTTCAAATGTACATATATATATATTTTGGTGAGGCAATTGGGGTTAAGTTATTTGCCCAGAGTCACACAGTTAGTGAGTGTTATGTGTCTGAAGCCGGATTTGAACTGCCATCCTCCTGACTCCAGGGCCAGTGCTCTATCCACTGTACTACCTAGTTGCACCTCAAGGAGAAATAATTTAAGAGTTATTGGACTGCCTGTTATGCTATGTTCAGAAAAATAGCCTAGACATCATCTTTCAAGAAATTATCAAGGAAAACTGTCTGGATATGCTAGAATCAGAGGGTAAAATAGAAATTGAAAGAATCTAACAATCACCTCCTGAAAGAGATCCCAAAATGAAAACTCCCAGGAACATTATAGCCAAATTCCAGAGTTCCCAGGTCAAGGAGAAAATATTGCAAGTAGCTGAGAAGAAACTATTCGAATATCATGGAGCCACAGTCAGGATAACACAAAATTTAGCAGCTTCCATGTTAATGGATTGGAAGGATTGGAAGGCAAAGGAGCTAAGATTACAACCAAGAATCATCTGC